AGGGCCCAAAGCTCTCCATTCTTGACGGCAGACATAATTCTGATGAGAGATTGCATACAATTTGGCTCTAAATTAACGCTCATTAATGTCTCCGACAATCGATTGGAAAGTCTTTTATTCAATCCTTCGGTTTTTGCGCTAATATTTGTGCGAAAAGTTCCCAATCTTTGCGATGCTTTCGCTATTTCAACAAATGTTAATTTCTTGTAATCTGTGATCACTTTTCCCTCGTTATAGTCTTCGGGAGTCATTATATCAATCATTTTGTCAATTATCTCATCCTCTGAGCACCGATTGTCTTCATAATTGTCATCGGATTCGCTGTCCGTTTCATTCAATAAACTATTATCCGTTCCCTCCAAGTCGTAATCATCGGAATCTAATCCACAATTACTTTTAATAAATATTGTAATAAATATTACAAATAAACAGTATTTAGATTTTATATTCATAGTTAATTATATTAACAAATTTTATAACACAGTAATTGAATTTTAAGAAATAAATATTTTAGAATCATTTAACATGATGGTTGTATTTATTATGTATGCATTTACAGAATATATTGAGCCTAAGTTTAAAACCAATTGTGACTCTCGTGTGCTTTTAAATATAACTGATTTAAATTGATTGCTAATTTACATATATGTAAAATGACAAAATTTGGGTATTTTGTTTGCCTGATGCTTTGTCAACACGTCAACATATTTGTTGGTGTTTTTTGCAATGTTAATTTTAACTCAGCCAACTAGATATTTAATTCTATTGGTTTGTAAATTAACTGTATTTTACTTTAAACGTTACAAACAAAGTCATCAACATTATATTATAATATGGTAAATTTAAATAATTATTACTAACTTCAAAGGGGTAACAGTAATAATACATTATATTAAATGTTAGTGAAAGTAATTATGTGTTTAAACATATCGAAATTTGTGTGAATTTTGTGACATCAATAAAAATATATAAAAGTAATTTTACAAAATGATATTGTGTGAATGTGCTAAAAAATAAGTTTTTACTGGTTATATAATAAATATGATTAAAACTTTATTATTAGCAAATCATTTTATATTTTATAATATTATATTTTATATAAATTAAATTTTGTTAAAAAGATATTTTTGTTATCACTAGTTACATTAGAAAAATTATATATTTACATATTTATTATGCACAATGAGTTTATTGTTAAATAATTCTCACCTTTTGTGGTGTTTTCCCCAATGTATTGCTAAATATTATGCAGAAACTAAAACTATTAATGTTATAATTATAATAAATATTTTATTATTTGCTTTAAAGTTGTAAATATGAAATTTATTATTATAATTGTAAATTTAAAAATGTATAATATTAGTTCAAACGATTGATCTATTAAACAAGGCTCACACGCGATGCGTGTTAAAGTATAGCCATAGGATTAACATGGAATCCCATGTTAAATTCCATAAAGGAGAGGAGGGAATGAATAGCCGCGCCATCATATAGACCACATTCTTCATATATGAATTGTAGTTAAAAATTTCCTACGTAAAGACCAGTCATTCAATTTTTATGAAATTCAGTTTTTTTGCCTAAAAATGTAACCAAAAATTATAAAACTAATTTCATTTTAATTCAATGGGACGATAAAATAGGTTTTAACTTAACCTAGACAAGAACCTACCATGGCCGCTAGAAACGCTGCATTCTATGGGATGTTAACATAGGAATAAAGGCATCTAACGCTAAGGTGGGTCAGTTATCTAACCCTATTAGATAATATTGCTAACTTGATTGAAGTAATATTATTAGCAATATTAACCTCTCTATTAGAAGCTCTCATAAATAATTTTAAAGAACATAATTTATAAGAAATACTTTTTTTAAATTAATTCTGCTAGTTTACAAATCAGTGTTGATTTGATTAACGTAATGAATACATATAAAGTACAGTTTAATAGCTTAATAATGTATTTAAAAGTCTATTTATCATTTTTATTTGAGATATTTAATTAGTTGTAATCAAATTAATGATATCTTAAGCATATTATAATGTGTAAAATAAATTCATACATTTCAATACATTTACATGACATAAATAATAGGATAAATAAGAGAAATAAGTTCAGATAAACATGTTCATTATTAAAAAAATTGATTTTGCAATTCATTGTTAATTTTCATTTAATTTGTTTTACATAATAGTTAATATCCTTATTTGATGCCATAACCATAAATTTGTAACTTGTTTTATTATGTCTTAATTAGTCTGTTTATGATCGCCAGTCAATTTATTTAATTAATTGTTTTCTTTATTAAATGCAGAATTAGTATAACTATTATTGCAATTATTGTTATTGCCGTTCATTTCCTTATTATTTGATGAAATATCAATTTCTAATGCAAACTTTTGGTCGTATTTCTTAACCATATTATCAGCAGTTAATTGTCTTTTCACTGGTTTTTTGCTTCCAATTAACAAATCTGTAGTCAATGTCGCGAAGGGTTTCGTTATAATGAATGCACACAAAACTGCCGCCAAATATGTTATTATAAGGTCAGAGACAGCACTCGATAACTAATTACACATATATTTTAACAATTAAAAATAATTATCATGGAAATTTTTGTTAATAATAATTATAAATATTTCAATATAACTTGCCACATAATAATCATTATAAGTAACTTGCTCTCTTAAAGTGCCGATTCTGTACACTATGGCAAACAAATGTAACTGTAATATAAAGTGAACATAATTATTAAATTCAAACAAAAACCAATTAATAAATAATAACCTACTTACAATATATATTTCAAGCGCCAAATTATTAATTATATTAAATCCCTTCCAACCCATTATCTTATTTATTCTATCTGTTGAAATTAAATTATATTTGTTTACTAGAAATTCTGTTAAAAATTCAATTTATTTATTAAGACATTACCGGCTCTACCGGTTTAATTACTATAGAATTCGTATAATATTACACATTTTATTTAAGTATGTAAAGTTATGTAAATGTACTGTATTTATTATCCTATTTATTCTCTTTATTCAAGTCTATTTGTACAAGTAATAATTTTTTTATTGATTTTGCAATTCATTGTTAATTTTCATTTAATTTGTTTTACATAATAGTTAATATCCTTATTTGATGCCATAACCATAAATTTGTAACTTGTTTTATTATGTCTTAATTAGTCTATTTATGATCGCCAGTCAATTTATTTAATTAATTGTTTTCTTTATTAAATGCAGAATTAGTATAACTATTATTGCAATTATTCTCATTATTATTATTAGAAATATTGTTATTGCCGTTCATTTCCTTATTATTTGATGAAATATCAATTTTTAATGCAAACTTTTGGTCGTATTTCTCAACCATATTATCAGCAGTTAATTGTCTTTTCACTGGTTTTTTGCTTCCAATTAACAAATCTGTAGTCCTAGTAATTCCAAAAAGTGCACCAGCGTACACATAGCATTTATAATAGAAAAGGTCATTTATGTACTATTACTATATTATTCATATATAAAGTTAACAATCATTGTGAATGGGGTTTAAAATTCAAACTTTAAACATTACAAGTATTAATGTTTACTATTTATTATTAAAAATGGGGCACCAAATGACTAAAAGCATTGTAACGTTTATAGTGAACAATAGTTTAAAAATTAACTTGATGATTCAATAATCACGTCTAATTTATAATAGCATTTTTTTGTGCCTGGTAAATCTAGCTGTAGTCAATGTCGCGAAGGGTTTCGTTATAATGAATGCACACAAAACTGCCACCAAATATGTTATTATAAAGTCAGAGACAGCACTCGATAACTAATTAAACATATGTTTTAACAATTAAAAATAATTATCATAGAAATTTTTGTTAATAATTATAAATATTTCAATATAACTTGCCACATAATAATCATTATAAGTAACTTGCTCTCTTAAAGTGCCGATTCTGTACACTATGACAAACAAATGTAACTGTAATATAAAGTGAACATAATTATTAAATTCAAACAAAAACCAATTAATAAATAATAACCTACTTACAATATATATTTCAAGCGCCAAATTATTGATTATATTAAATCCCTTCCAACCCATTATCTTATTTATTCTATCTGTTGAAATTAAATTATATTTGTTTACTAGAAATTCTGTTAAAAATTCAATTTATTTATTAAGACATTACCGGCTCTACCGGTGGCACAGGCGTAGAAAAGCCAACAAAATCCCGATAAATAAAACACTTTATGAACCAATAGATAGACGTGTAGTTCGTATCCATTGAGTCGAGTGTATCGATAGCTAAAGTGCAAGAAGTCTTTATTCCACCAGCAGATACCAAATGTCATCGAAAATGTGGCCAAAGATATGATCGTCTCTCCTATCCGTCCGCCTAAGTATGCCTTCGGGTGCCGACGGATAGCATAACCGGCGAGAATACCGATGATATAAGTCTGAAAGTATGGCAGAGATGACCAGTAATGATAAGTAAAGCCACTAACGTTGGAAGAAGTAGAGTCTGTGGAGAATCCCTCATAAATGTGAGGGATATTGAAGTGAAAGCGAGTGATGAGAGGAATGGATATTCCGATCGCCAATAGGAAGACATTCCAGAGAACACCAAATCTGGGCATTTTGTAGAGCGCGAGAAATGCCAACGGAGACAACGCATAGAGTTGGAAGTCGGCAGACGAGTACCTGGGTGTATTTAGAAATTTTAACTATTAATACTATCATAAACAATATATATTAATTACATACCATGTTACTATTAGACACTGTTTTTAAATGCCATTGACATAAACAAATTGAATTATAAGATAATTATTTTTAAAATATAAAAATTCAATTTATTTATTAAGACATTACCGGCTCTACCGGTGGCACAGGCGTAGAAAAGCCAACAAAATCCCGATAAATAAAACACTTTATGAACCAATAGATAGACGTGTAGTTCGTATCCATTTAATCGAGTGTATCGATAGCTAAAGTGCAAGAAGTCTTTATTCCACCAACAGATCCCAAATGTCATCGAAAATGTGACCAAAGATATGATCGTCTCTCCTATCCGTCCGCCTAAGTATGCCTTCGGGTGTCGACGGATAGCATAACCGGCGAGAATACCGACGATATAAGTCTGAAAGTACGGTAGAGATGACCAGTAGTGATAAGTAAAGCCACTAACGTTGGAAGAAGTAGAGTCTGTGGAGAATCCCTCATAAATGTGAGGGACATTAAAGTGAAAGCGAGTGATGAGAGGAATGGATACTCCGATCGCCAATAGGAAGACATTCCAGAGAACACCAAATCTGGGCATTTTGTAGAGCGCGAGGAATGCCAACGGAGACAATGCATAGAGTTGGAAGTCGGCAGACGAGTACCTTGGTGTATTTGGAAATTTTAACTATTAATACTATCATAAACAATATATATTAATTACATACCATGTTACTATTAGACACTGTTTTTAAATGCCATTGACATAAACAAATTGAATTATAAGATAATTATTTTTAAAATATCTAAAATAATTGTTATAATAATGCATACATTTAGTGGTGAAGAAACGTTACTATTGGGATACAAATAGTTATTAAAATTATTAATCATTAACAGTGGTTTATACCACCCATCATAACATGGTTCTGATATAAAATATTTAGTACTATCCCAAAACGGTCCTAGGTAATTATATGTATAAAGTACAATTTAAAAAATATAATTCATATTGATGATTATATAAAGTATAATATTATATATACCATCTCCTAAAAAGTCGTATATTAAACTTATGAGAACACCCGCAACAAGCATTGGTAATAGGCGCAAGTACCTTTTCAATTAATTAATTAATTTTTAAAACATTTTCGAGAGAGAGAGAGAGAGAGAGAGAGAGAGAGAGAGAGAGAGTTGACATGTGTTTACCTATAAATTATGAAATGAAAATAATTGAATTTTCCTTTGCTTTTTTCTAATTTAGACAAAATTGTATTACACAACAGAAGTGCTGCAAAAGTATAATAATTTTAATAATTAATAAAATGTCATATTATCAGATATGTAATATTACAGAGAGTATATTGCAGAAAGTACTGTATTATAAATTTAGACTTGTATTACAATACCTGATATAAACATAAAGTTATCCATAAGTAAATGATTAGAGAAAAAGAAGTTTCGATAATTCAAAGCCATTTTATAAGACGCGGAGTAATAATAATTGCGGACATAAAGGATGACATTTCCCGACATAACGATGTGAATGAATAGTACCATAAATGAAAGGTATGTTTTCATGCCATCCATTGCTTTCAATTTTTCGTATTGTTTTAGACTAAAGATATGTTTTGCGCTCCTTTTCGCTGAAAAACACCTCAAAATGTATGCAATCGTTGTTTTGCCCACAAATCGGTTGATTAGTGATTGTCGGGACAAACAATGAAGTATTGTTCCCAATATTACCATCAGTATTAATGTGGCAAATATTGCACTAAATTTATTAATAGATTATACTTATATATAAGACTTATACTTAATATAAGAGAAATTTATAAGTTTTTTTATATGATTGCAGACTGTATTATTTAAATTAGTATTAGTGTCAGTATTAAAACATACATAACAATCATATGTTGTTTATTCAATGTAATTGGTTTATCCAAATAATCGCAATCATTATGAAATTTAATGGGCAATTGAGTGATTGGATACATAACTGCATAAGAATTGTATTTTGCATTTAAAATTATATTATATAAAAATATTAAGTATTACAATATTTTAAATTCGTTTATAGATTATTATAATACAAAAACTTACTCTCATTGATAGCGTCGGACAGATCTTCGGGTTTACAAGTGGTCGGCAAACAGAAACCATTTACTAATTTGATGTCTTTTTTAAAAAAATACTTTGAATACTCCATCCCTTCAGTTAAGTCGTTAGGATTATGATCACGACTGACAATAATCGGCACATAAACACCCATTAGTCCCGGAAAGAAATTGTTTGCAAAAACAGATTTATTCATTACTGCACCCAAATTATCTGATCTTTCCACATCTTCCATCTTTATATCTAATATAAAGTTGGTATCCATTGAACAGTACTGTCCTTTGATCACCGGCTGATCCACTTCTTCGGGACTGACAATACTTAAGCATTGATCATAATTACCAATACTCGGACCACCTAGTTCAGTTACTGTCATTTGAAATGATGGCTGAGCGTCAAGAACTATGAACAATGTAAATAAATATTATAAATTTAATTTAATATAACTAATAACAAATTACTCATTAACAGTTATATTACAAGAATTTAAAAGAAATTTAATTATGAAATGTTGAATGTTAATTATACTATATAATGTGCAGTTAATTATGAGTTTAGTTATGAATAAAATGCATTACATTTAAGGGCCCAAAGCTCTCCATTCTTGACGGCAGACATAATTCTGATGAGAGATTGCATACAATTT